ATAGGTGAAGGTGCAAGGTCAAAATCACCTTTCAGAGGCCCCGGTGCCCAGCAATCAGTGTTTTTTATTATGCTTGCCTTCACTACCAGGGTGTAGGACAATAAGAGGAACGCTTTTTTCGAGCAGATCACTTCAGGATCAGTCTAGCCGTCCCATTCTGGTTGTGAGTGAATATGGAAATACCATGAACTAGAATCTCTTTGCTGATTACAAGAACACGCATCCCCCAAAAAGCATCCAGTGGAGTTATTTTTAATACGGTGTCCCCGAAATAGGGGAACCCCAAATAGAAACCTCCGAAGACCTTCACAATCGAACAGCTACTGCAATTGGCGAACAGGAAGCATGCATGTGTAAATTGGAGCTTGCAGGTGAAAGACACGACAGGTGGTGATTCTAGTAGGCACCTATATTAATATATATTAACTATATATGTTTAAAAAGAGCACCAGAATTCGTTGCGGGGTAGTAGAAAGTAAATGTGGCAATTCAAAACCAATGGCAAGCTTCAAGTAGGGGTTTCCAACATTGAGATTCTCTTTAGATTTCTTTAATACGTATTCATGTTTCAGATTAGCACAGGTAGCAGTAGAGAAAGCATTGCTTCAAAGCTGGACAACTAATTGAAACAAAAGTAGTACAAATAGGCAAACACGTTGTAGTTTTTATCAACGTGTTTTCCTATGTTTTCGCAATTGAATTGAGAGAGAGTGAGAGAAGAAACACGAGTAGTATAAAAAGTAGGACAAGGGTGTTTTTCTTTTGTTTGTTGGTCCTGTGTTCGAATTTCCCTTCACTTGGGTTTTCTATTTTATTATGTAGTTTGTGTTTTTTGACTGCACCCAGTGCAAGCTGATGAAATAAGTAACTCCAGGAGCTTAATGTACTTTCGCACGACTTAAGTTTTACCTCCGCTTTGTGTGCTTTAATTTTCTTAAAGATGTCTTCCCGAAACAAGAGGGTTTCTGACTCCTGTCGAAGGGCTTGTTTTCGACTGTCCGGTTGTGCTGCGTACTTGGGTCGCCTCTTTTGATTGTGCTGCGTGCTTGGGTCGCCTCTTTTGATGTGCTGGGTTGCTTGGGCCGCATGGTACGCGATGCCTTTGCATGTCTCTAGTTTTTTCCCGTTTGGTTTTTCTATATTTTGCTTTTTCGAGATTTCATTGGCCTGCGAATGAGACAAAGAGTGGGTGACAAGCTCAAATCCATTGGGGGTCTTTCCGGTTAGAAGAAGAGATGCCAGGGTTAGGATTGATGGTAGGGTTTGGCAAGGTGTTGCACCAGAACTCATGGATGCATATTCACGTGAAGGTACTGTTTTTCACCCCGTTGCATGGAAGTTGGTGTTCCTGTGTGGTATTCATTGAGCACAAGAGCCTAGCCAGACTGACACGTGAAAGAAAAGAGGCGGATATTCTTCCACAGGGTGTTTTTCATTTTTTCTTGTTTGGAGCCTACGCTGTGATAGTTTGCACTGCTGGGTGTGGTAAATTCAACACCGAGCGTTTGCTTGTTTTCCCTGTTGCGTCAGGTGCAAGCGATATATAGTCATAACCTCACCCAGGGGCTGCATTGCATGCAGTGCCGGTTTCTTCACTCGATTTGGTATGCAAGAGCTTGAGGGAGAGAGGCAGCAGGTGCGGAGTAATTCTAAGGACGGCCTGGTCTTTTTTCAACAAGAGAGCGAGCTGGTAGCCAACAGAGCGTGCGAAAAGGACGTCCACAGCTTATGCAAGGTCAGAGCCCCAGCGTTTTTGCTTCACCCAATAAGTACTGTATTTCATCCATTGGCTGGAGCCAATCCCAAACTACTAATACGTGTCCGTTTACTGTATGCCATACTGTATATCATATGGGACTATCGGCATCACTATGCATTGCTTCTTAGGTTGTGAATGGGACCCGTACAACCTCCTTTATCCATCTTTATCCACAGATGTCCTGGACCGCTGGGGGTTGCGGCCAAGGCACCTGAAGGATTTCTGAATCTCAACGAGAACATGCTAGAGGCGCTTGAAACCAAGGAATCCTTGAAGAAGGACCGAAGGAGAACTTTCAACATCAACTCATGGAACCAGCACTCCCGACCTTGGCGTTTATGTTGAAAGTAGACTAAGTAGACTATATGTGCGTTGGTGACATGATCCATGGAGAACATGTTGGGAGGACCTTTGGTTGGTGGTCTCCTACACACCTTGGTGTTCACCATGCCGTGACTTTCTGGACTATTTGAGCGCATTTGTCGGGAAAAATCTGCCCTCACAAAGCCGAATGCACCTGGCTGCCGTGAACTGCCATGATCGGCAGATCCTCAGCTTCACCACTCGGGCTTCCTGAGTCCTAATTGAAGCGGATTGATCAATATATATATATATATAGGCTCTTGGCCCTCCTCCAATCAATGCATCACAACCCCTGCCTGCACCTTTGAAGACTCAGGAAACTTTGCGACTCGTTGGGCCTGATAGGCCATCCTATGCTCAGCACGTTTGGCGGCACCTTGATTGTTGCCAGATTTCGGGCAACGTTCCCATGTTCTAAACCAACTGCAGCTTCGCAATGTGCAGATTCACCTTGAGGACAGTGACCCGTTCTTTCCCAAGCCTCATGCCCCAGTTTGCAGGACTGGCTCAAAGCAACTGGTTTCAACATCCAATGGCTCAAACTGACATGCGCAGTCACAGCACAGCAGCAAATGCAATTATGAAGTGTAGACAGTGTAGACAGCAATATTATATTTGGACCGGGTATATTATATAGGTATATGACTCGGCCGTGGACATACCGTAAGATCCCCACCCCAGCCTCGACCATGATGGTTCGGGCACCAAGGCAAAGGCATCGAGAAGATCTTGGACGCCTGGAGTTTCCGTCAAGCCGCCCCTGAGTGGCGCAAGGACCGTTGGACCTTCCCCTCAAATGTGTGACTTCACGGCACCGGTTGGAGGGCCGCCACAGTCTGATGCCCCCAATGGTGGCGCTGGTTCAACTCAATCCTGCTACGTCGGAACATGATCCCAGAATATACCAGAAGCGCAATCGTCTTTAGTCGTGCGTATTTGCATATGTGTGCTGTTTAATTAAGTCCTTCCATGGCCAGGTCCCTCCTCCTCGAGATTCTGCCAGAAGAGTTCAAGCTCAAGAAGCCCAGGAACTGCACCCCGTCACGGCGTTGCTTTTCGGACGCACTGTTTCATGAGGGATTTGTAATGAGGTGGCAGCGAGAAATCCAGCATTTGGTTTGACTTGTACGAGTGCATGAGACGCCTTGTACTGTGCCTTGAGCGAACAAGCCAGTAGTTGTCCGATTCAGCTGGGGAACCAAAGAGCACCTGACGAGTCAACTTTGTCTGAATCTATTTTCAGGTTCTTCGCTTGAGACGCCAATGCTCAGTGGTTTGGAAAGTGTGGGACAAGACGGGCAGTTTGGTCCAAGACGCGCGAGCACTTGGATCGTGGCAGATGCGTTGCAAGGTCTGATGGAATGACACTAGATCTGCATAGAAGCAGGGCGAGGCCCAAATGAACTCAGAATTCAACCGTAACCTGGGCAAATGCAGCCAATCGGGAAATCAGGCCAAAGATTCAAAAGGGGGGTGAGGTTCTAGTGACGCTTGGGTACAGTGTAGTTTGCTAAAGTCAACTGCATCCCAGGCTTGGACTTCTCAACGCCTTTCATCACCTTGAGACAAGTCAGTGCGGTCGAAGCCTTCCTCGCAATGGTTGACCAGGGGCTGGCAAAGCAGCTGCCGGACTTAAATCTGAATGTGAAGGAACACTTGTCGCATCCGATCAACACGCTCCAGAGATTTTTGCAGAAGGTCTTGAGACAAGGAGCCTCGTTGGGAGGCAGATATGCGGTTTGCCAATCAGAGTGGGGGGCAGAAGTGAAGAGCTTCAAGCAGCAGGTGGACACCACCAGGGAATTGCTATTGCTACCCCACCGTGCACAGGTGAATGAGACACGACACTGTGATGGTTCATGCCGTGCATGGACACTCTTGCATGGCTTGTTCCGAGCTTAGCTCTAGTGAATCTATTGTGAATCTTTGTGAGCCATGACCAGAGGCCGTGAGAGCCAGATGGTAAGATTGTAATGTCCAAGAATGGCCAAGCATGCAGACAAGTCATTCACCAAGGTCTGTGTGGGGCGCAAGTTCCATCGAGGCTCGAGAGTTTCTACATGCTCTTTCGGAGATGTTGGAGATCCCGGCATCACCCTTGGCCCACGCAATATCCGATGAGGATTGTGCTGCAAACATGTCCTGGATGGTGGAGGCCCTTGCCACTGATCGGTCTTTGGATTCAATTTCACGTACGTCAGTAGCAGGTAGAGCCAAGTAGACATTATTGCAGGTTTGCTCACTTTGTTTCTATGGGCTGAGGGCTTCAAACATGTTTTCCCGAAACATGAGTAGGGACCACATCTCTCTCGCGCTTGTAGGCAATCGTTGCACCACCCAACACAAAGCTTAGGTACTTCAATTCTGGAGAAGACTCCTTGATTTTGTTGCTTTGGAAATTGCATGGTGCTTCATCTGCATCCAAAGCCTTTCAATGTAGCCCCGTCCGCGACATGCGTTGGCCCTCTGGATCCGAGTGCCCCTCTTGCTGGGGCCGTTGCTTCCGGCAGAATCGTCTTTGTTGGGCCCCTTGGGAAGACCAGCGCTCAAGATCAGGAGCCTGTCTAGCGACTAGTGTTTGCAAGCGTTTTGTTATGTGCTGTTTTTTGAATTCCGCCCTCATTAAGCTATAGACGTCGCCATGCAAGCTCAAAATCAGGAGCTTCAGTTCCAAACATGGTGGATGCCTCTCCGAATCATCCACAAGTGGTCCAGTATCTTCGGGGCTGGTATGGCGGCGCCCTCCCAGTCGAGCCGGCGCAAAAGGTCGTACTGCCTTGCAATCGTGTTCGCGGCAAGTGAATGTTAAAATTTAAAACGGCATATAGCGAGCTCAAGCTCAAGCTTGGTTGCGGCATCCTTTTGGCAGAAAATGCAGGTTAGAAGTGCTGCGCGAGAGACCCTGGTTGATGCAAAAGCGGGTGCCTCATGACCGAGCGTGGTAAGTGCATGGCGATGCACCCAGGGTCAAGGAACACCTTTTCAGGCACTTTGCGGTAACGTTTTAGGCGTTCAATATCTACCTGGCTACCTGGGTTGAAGTCCAGCATTGCCTGCCACTTGAGCCCAAGGTGGAGAGCACTGCTTCAGGCCGGGCCAAGTTTGGGAGGCCTTGGAAGGATGCTGTACACCCGATACACCGTACATGCGATTCAAGTGCAGCCACGGGTAGCCTCTTAACCACTCAAAGTATCTCAAAGTCACAAGGCATAGATGACATTGTTCTGTCATTGACTCGACATTGATGATGGCCAAGATTGGGGCTTTTACAGGATTGCATGTTCATAGGGAGAGCGAGGTAGATCGATTGATGAAAGGATATGAAAGGGATTGGTGAGTGTTGGAGTTGCTGTTCTTTTGTCTCGCTAGCGTTTTGCTCAAAGATACATAGCAGGGCCGCACCGAAGAAGCCAAGCCATGGCAAAGAGAAAGGTCATGGTTGATGTCATCAGTGACGTGGTCTGACCCTTCTGTTGGATTGGCAAGCGAAATCTGGAGGGAGCCATGAAGCAGCATCTTGTCTTTTTGCTCCACTGCATTTAAGCCTTGACGTGTTGTTTTGCATGCAAATTGCTCTGCACTGATTCCTGGTGCAGTGGCGTGTTTGTCGAGACAAGCTTTTGTCAGCAGCCTCGCCGGTCAAACGAACGGAACCCCTCCAACTTCATCTCAACATCACATAAAATCCTTCCTTAGACCCCAACAAACCTGTTACAGCAAAAAATCATTCTTTCTATATAGGAGGCGGGAGTGGGACTGGTGCATTTCTTCGATGCAGAACGCCACCACCACAACAGCGCAAAAGTAACAGAGCTCGCTTCCAGGGCTGTTGTCGTACCGCTTTGCATTGCAGACTGCGACAAGGTGCTCTGAGGTGGATTTCGAGGTTCGATGGCTGCCCTTTCAACTGGATCCCGCCGCATCTGAGAAGGCGTCTAGTCGCATGGAGGCCGTGGCTGATGCAGACAGTTTTGTAGTTTTGAAGATTGAGGCCCCACTGGAAGGCACTAGTCAATGCGGCTTCGAGCCTAGGCCTAGAGGCTTCGATGGGAGATTTCTGTAGCTTTCTCCAGAAGAAATGCTAGTAGCACCTGCGATGACGCAACCCGGTTACTATAGAAAACATGCTGGGTTCTTGGAGACTAGATTTGAACTTCATGGAGGCTTATGCAAAGAAGTTCGGCAAGGGGAAGGAAGAGGTGAAGCAGATGGGAGCATGGATGCGACTGGGTTCAGCCTTGGCTACCCTGTGGTTTACTCATGTCAGTTCTTGTCACAAATTGCGATTACTTATATGCGTGCTCGTTTCCATCAGTCACATGCTTCGTGATTCCTGCATGGGGGAAGCCAGGCTAGATCCCCCGAGGGTTGCTTGGGAGAAGCGTTGTCGATTGCATTCGCTGCTGTGCATCACGTTTCGAGGAAATCCAAGTTCGATGCCGCAGAATTGCCCTACAACTTCACAGAGTCTGCTTTGGACCTTTGGCAGTCAAGTGCGGGAACTGTGGATACCAAGTCTGGGTTTAGTCATTATAGTTGTCACCACATAATATATGAATATTATAGATGAATATAGATTGCATGCACCAACCCATGCCCGTAGGTGGTTAGGCCAAAGTGCATGCAGGATTATGGTTCTGTAATCCCATGGTGTCAACACTTTCATAACACTAAGGTGGCATGTTCTATTTTGTGTATCTTATTCCAGCCTCTGATTCAATCTCAAAGTGCCTGGCCATGGAGGTGGATCTACATAATTAATCAGCTTATGCATTTGTGGGGTTCTTTGCGGACCTCACCTGTTTGAGATGGCCCATGCATTAGATACCAGACAGCCAAGGTGAGCAACACATTTGATGCCCATCGCGTGCTGACAGCGGCTTACAAGCATCTCGGTGTTGTGCATGCAGTGCATGGCCACCTTGGAAATGCAGCCTATGCTTATGGCCTATGGAGAAAGTTGTATAAAGCAGGTAGGCGATGGTAGGCGTGTGATGTTGTAGGCAGTCCTGTCAACGTTGCCGCATTGCCCTGTCCTGCTAGCAACTGCTAGTACATGAGCATGAACATACGAACGAAAAGGCGCCCGTTGCCAAACCCAAGCGCTATCACGGGCTTGCAGGCATGGCGGGGCTGCAGCGCAGGACAAGGCGGCCGAAGCCTTGTTCCATTCGTACTTTGCAAAAGAGACGCCTGGCATTGCCCTGGAAACCCTCCCATCAGATGTTGCCCCTGGCCACTGCAAAGAGCACTCTAGAGGTGCTGCCTCAGCCCTCAATGGAGCAACATAGTCGCCAAATAATGCTAAGTGCACTTCATATCACTTCGAGATTTCGAGGAAATGCCTCCTCAATATCATCATCGATCTTTCTTTTCAGGAAGGCGCCCAACGACCCAGAGGAGCTGAAGGAGGCCGCCAAGGCCGCGGGCCTGGATGCCACAGCCTTGCGCCGCGGGCAGCAGATTGGACACCGGGGAAGAACGATAGAAAGATTACGGGTGCCATTGACATTGGTGTCATACATCTATAATCAATTATAATCACCTATAATATCTTTATATATGAATATAACTACATACACATGTTAAAAGTTTCACACAGTTTTCCAAATGTATTAAACCTACGCGGAGAGAGCTAGCCCTGCAGAGAGAGAGAGGGAGAGATGATAAATATTGACATCACACGTGCAAACATAAGCCTGTACTTGTAACAGGCCCATGCAATCCCATGCACGCACACACACAAAGAAAAACGTGCATATAAGAGTCACAAAGACAGTTGTTACGGTATGTGTATACATATATATATTCAGAGGGATGTTTGACAATACGAGCTCCTGCTCAACATGAAGTACCTATCTCAATGGTTCTTGCGTGAAACTTGCCATCCCAACCCCACCATGCCAAGATGCCAGAAAATGTGAGCAGCATCGCTCGAGAAGATGGCATAACGAATCGAATGAATCAATGACGAATAAATTTACATTTCTTGTAGCAGTAGCACCTTTGGCGAGAAACCTATGAGTGTGGACATATGTAAATTATCTCACCCAGCCCAGCACACACACTCTCTCTTTCTAGCAGCTGCGGTCCATTGGTGGTATTTTTGAATTGAGCTTTCAGCTTTGTCCCCTCGCTTCAGCCCACTCACACAACCAAGCCAGCACAGCTGCCCTTGCAGCTGCTTCTGTCAAAGAAGCACGACCAGCTTTACGATTCCCCAAAGGTGCTGCAGCACCTGACGACCCCGATGGCCCTGAAGACAAACTCGGATCAAATGACCTGGAGTGAGTTGCCTTGTTCTTCCATTTTTCACCATGAGGTAAGGACCCTTGAACATATGGAGAACCAGCGCCCTGGTAGACGGCAATGGAGCACCCTGCAGGCACGGCTAGGCTGCTCAAGTCTGGCCTTGCATCCAGCTGCACAAAGGGCTCTGGCAAGGTCTCTGACACATGTTGCTCTCCACCACAGGGTTCCTCCATCGTCCTGGCTCTCTTGGCAGGCGGACTGCTTGCTCTTGGTGAAGCGGCTTTGGCTGTCCCATTGCTCTTTTGGTTCAGCTCAGAACTCTCCAAGATCTTGCTCAACAGTTCCGCCTCACATCGTGAGTCCAGCTCAGGAGGTTCATGATCAGACTGGTCACCCTCATCCTCTCTCGACCCCTGGCTTGCTTTCTCTTTGAAAAATGCCAAGATGTTTGCCTTGGCCTCTTCCGAGTAGCAAAAATGATCCAGCAGCTTCCCAACTCGAAGTTTGTTGGTGCAATTCCCAGGAAGCGCCACCCCACACAAGGTACACAAGCCTTTCAAGCACTCTGCTGATAATCCTCAGGCAACTATGATTGACATTCAACATCAAACACAAAGCAACAACCATTGAGGACTTTCCACCAGCAGTCATAGTTTCAAAGTAAACCACAAATGAACTGTCTTGAAACAGCACAAAAACACATATGCCAAATGAAAAGACATACATCAAGAGTCTGTGCGCATACTTCTCAAGAGCTGTGTTCACCAGTGGCACTGCTGGCTGCAGCTCCAATCTAAACTCAATGGTTTGGTCCTGCTCCACCAGCTTTGGTGTGTAAGGAACGAAGCTCACATCCAGCGGCTTTTCCATGATGATGTCCTGTAGGGCAAAACCAAATCCTATGATCTAGTCGACGCCCATGTTTGGTCATGAAACATATTTGACTGAACACCTAAACCCAAGAAATATTTAGTCGCAAATTGCATTGAAGCACCCGCTCTGATCCTGCATGTCCCAAGACAACACATTGATGCGAGCCCACAATGCCCCATCTTCGTCAAGGATTTGCAGAGGCCATGCCTTCAGGTGAACATATGGTGCATCAAAGACCAAGAAGTGCTTCTCCCCAATGTGCAGCACCTGTACAAATCAAATCAAACACTGCACTGTCCCAAGGTTCTTATCGCAAAAAACAGGTCCAGTTAAATTGGTTTCCACCGAATTGAATCCAATATTGGAACACTCAGCAGACAACACACATTGTATATCAGATCCGATATTTTACCTTCTGACATTAGAAACACCTTCTGCTCCCAGTCTGCTCCCAGTCTACAACATTGAACCCAAGGAAAGGTGAGGTTTAAGGATTAAGGAAAGGTAGGGCTTAAGATTGCGACTTGCCAAGCTTTAGAATACTGCACTTTTAGAACCAGCGTACACATATATAGTTGAAGACAAATTCAATATATATGTAAAGGCACCTCCCAACCCCAGCCACAACAATGAGCCATTAAACAATTCGGCACCTGCCCACTTCGCGCCAACTGGGCGGTCCAAAAGTGCGTATGGCATCCATCAGTGGCTTTCATAGCTGACCAAATGTTGAGACACTTTCTGGTGAGATGATGTGGGGAAATTGTGGCCGCTCGGATCATTGAGTTGAAGCCAACTAGTCCTGTATCACTGGCACATGCCCTTCCAGAATCAAAGACGGCTTTCTTGATGAACTGAGAAGGCTTGATGCCATTGAAGTCCAAGTCGGTGGGAGTCTTGAACTCCTTGTACCGCTCATTGAGTCCTTTGCAGCTGACAGCCTGCAGCTGCTCCACCGAAATCTC